GATTGTTTTGGACGAACAACAACAAAAAAACACACACACATAGGACCCACCCCTCCGATTAACGGACCAGGGGAGGTAAGGGGGTCTATGAGTTGTAAAAGTGAGGACGAGAGCGAGAGAGCGAGAGAGCGGGAGTAGTTAGTGTGTGTGTGTGTGTGTGTGTGTGTGTGTGTGTGTGTGTGTGTGTGGGAGGAACCTTGACTTGAGGGACTTCTCATGTCAGAAGGGAAGCCGGAATAGTCCTGTCCTCCACCAACTCAAAGCCTTCCACAGTTCACTATGAGACAGAGTCACATATAGCTTAGTGCTTTGATATTTTGTTAAAGGCATCAAAACTAAGTATACACCGGCAGTTAAATGATAATGAACTGCTAAACAGTTAAATCAGATTTTTTTAAAATGTCAGTGTAATTCTAGAGAAGTACAGATGACTATGAAAAGTATAGTTTCCAAGCGCTTGACTATTCTTTAAGTCGAAAACGTTTTGCTGTTTTTGTTGTTGTTGTTGTTATTGCAAGTCCAGTGTGAAAAAATATCCTGATTTCTTCTGTTTTCGTGCATATATCATACTAAATTGTTTCAGAAATGAAAACAAAATCAAGATAAAACAAAGGCAACCTGAGTGAACACGAAATACAGTTTTTAAACGGTAATGTTATTTAGTGATGCAAAAACCTTATCCAGTGTTGTATTGTAGCCTATTTCGTTTGATGAGCTAAAACTATTTAGTATGAGATATACACAAAAACTGAAGAAATCAAATACCTGGGGGCAAATACTTTTCTCACAGTGCAAATATTCAAATATAAATTTGCAAAAACGTATTTTTAAGGATTTTTTTTTATTATTATTCTACATAAAACTGGGTGGGCAAAAAAAAAAATATTGTGAAGGTCAACTGCAATGGAAACATTAGTAATTAATGTAAGTGCTTATACCTGAGTCATCATGTTGAATTTATTTTTGAAATATCTAGAAAATACAAGAGGGTGCTGTGATAGATAAGGTAAGCTCATGGACAAAGCGATTTACGCAACTGTCTCGAGCAACACATAAGTAAGGACAGCTAAATGAACCAAAAAATTTACGTTGCTACATGCAAGGAGCTTTGCCATATAGAAAGCCATTTCATCAAACTCTCTGTGAGTGCACGCTCTAAAGCACAGACACCAGAGCCAACATTTTACAAACTAGTTCAATTCAAATTTCACAGTGAAAAGATCTTATGTCATGGAGCTTGTGGATTTTTTAAAAATTATTATTATTATTTTACCTTTGTGTGGCAGTGGTGGTTTAGCGGTTAAGGCTCTGGGTTACTGGTCGGGGGTTCAAGCCCCAGCACTGCCAAGCTGCCACTGTTCGGCCCTTCAGCAAGGCCCTTAACCTTCTCTGCTTCAGGGGTTCTGTATCATGGCTGATCCTGCGCTCTGACCCCAACTTCATGACATGCTGGGGTATGCGAAGAAAATAATTTCACTGTGCTGTAATGTATATATGATCAATAAAGACTCGTTATCATTATTCTACAGACAGATCTGCCATCGTGAAGGCCAACGATATTTACTTGGAATGGCTTTTATTATATCAATCGATACATATACATGGCATGGTAGTGACGTTACATGGTAGTGGTGTACTAAACTGTACGTGAAATGTCTTAGCTACAGTAGTTTATAGCCTGTTGATGAAGTATATTTTACCCAAGTTAAGTGGTGGTGAAAGTGTAAGTACACGAGTGTGTGAGCATTTCATTTGTGTATATGGGATTTAAAAGGTGGCAGCAAAATTGAGTTTCACATAGAGGACCGAAACCTTGATTAATAAAGTACTTATTAACTATTTAAAAAGGTCTTGGATATACTTGCGGCGAAACACACAAATGGCTCCATGTTGTTCTTAAGGTCTGAATAGTTCAAAATGAATATAATTGGCATAGAAAATATCTAACTTTTTTATTTCATTGTTTAGCACTAAACACCCCCTAACTTACTTTTCAGAACAAGACAAAGATTAGGACTAATTAAGAATAAGATGTGATGATGAGGAGGAGGAGGATGATGATGATGTCAAAGCCATCAATGTGATGTGACTTTTCTAAATACGCTAATGATGCAGATCGTAAAAGAACAAAAGCTAGGTGACCAGTAAAAGAGTTTGTGTGTGTGTAAGTGTGGGAGAGTGTCTATGGGTGTGTATGAGGCAAGGGTCCTTTATTGAAAAGGCTTTGGCCTAGATGTAGTAATGTTAACTTCAAGTGGCCTCCATGGCTCCCTCTTTCCCTCCTCTCTTCCCAAGGCCCCAGGTTGCCTTTGCATGACATCATCGCCGAAACATGCCTCCCTAAACCCCCCGTGAATCTCCCCATCGTCACTCCAATTGAGACTTGCTGCTCTGCAACCCATACGTTTTTTTTTCTCTCCCTCTCTTTTCTTCCCCTCCTTCTTCCCTTTCTCTTCCACCTCTTCTCTGACAATCCCCTCCCCTTTTCCTTAACCAGGAGAAGGCATTGTCTTGGGCGAGGGCCTGATCAAAAAAAATGCAGCCCGCCCAAACCGCTCCCTTTCTGTAAATTCAATAAGCCCACCTTAAAGATTTGCCTAATTAATGGATGACATCTTTGGCTGGAGCAGAGGCGAGGTATTTTGCTCAGGCTCGGTCATTGTTGGCCTCCTAATTAACTTTCCCAGGTCAGCCTGGGTCTCAGCAACCTGAGAGTGAAGAGCTCCATTGTGCTAGGAGTTGTAAACTTACTTTTTTTTTTTTTTCGCTTCGGCACTTAAAAGGGAAAGCAACTATAGGGAACAGAAAATATCCCATTTAAGGCCTTTGTGAGTGAACTGCCTGCACATGGTTCAATAAAGGAAATCTTTTTAAATAAGCGTTAGTGGTCCTCCCCACAATCCTCCCCTCCCTCTCCTCTCCTCTCTTTCCTTGTACTTTGTCGGAGCGACGCAGAAAGGTTATGAATGATAGCTCGGCATCTGAGGAGTGAGGGGCAAGGGCCAGGTTTCTGTGTACCATTTGTGTTTGAGGCTTTTGAAGGAATTGGGGTACAAAGGGGGGAAAAAGTCTACGCTCTGTCTGGCAACTGTATAATTATGATTTCCCCTGTGTGAAGAATAGAAAATAAAAGTTTCTACTGTAAGGGAAGTGACACTTATTGGCTCAGACAGTTGCTCTGCCCTTCTGTTTATACAGTCCACCTGTTCTGCTACTCCCTTTTCACGATCAGTGATCAACCAATTAAAAGGAGGGAGGTCGCAGGCTGGTTAATGACTATTATTCAAAAATAAGCATAACGCTTGAATATTATTAATCCACTTATCTAACAAGTCATGGAAAAAAGGGCATGACAACAACCCAGACTGATCTTTTGGAAAACAGTGGAATCCCTCATTAACACCTACCCCTCTTATTTCCTACACACACACACACACACACACACACACACACACACACACACATATATACACCGTCCATCTGTCCCCTGGTCTAATCCCCCCAAAAATGAAGCTTCCTCACTTAATGAGTGGGGTGTGATCTTCCCACAGTCAGAAAGGACAACGTCACACAGTCATAGCTGCTCCATTCATTTGACAGTGCAAATTAAGCCAGTTACACAAGTAACTCTTTTTTTAAACATGCACCAGATCCTAAGTGTAGACATAGACATTGTATCAATCAGCAGCCAAATATCCAGCACATAACATATAACAGCAAATGTTTTAATGTTGTTAACACTCACTGCATTAACTATTTAGGGGTACAACTTGGAAGCAAAAAACTTCTAACCATGGTTTCATCTTATCCTTATCATATTATGACCTTGCATTAAATGCATATAGAGACATTATGAAGAAAAATTAAGCTTGGAAGCATGTAGGAGAGACTGATGGTGCTTCTAGTGAGTGTATACAGCTAGTACAGTTAGATAGATTTGTTAATGTTTGTTAAGCTAGATTCCTGAAATAGTTCACGCTGGATTTTGAGGTATGTTTGGGATCATTGTCCTGTTCTCTCTTTTCAACTTCAGGTTCTTGACTGACTGCATCATATTTGCTTCCATTTTGCTGATTTACTGCAATCCATCCTTCCATTTAACTGTGCAATGTTTTCCTAGCCTCTGGCTGCCACACAACACCAAAGCATAATAGCTCCACCGCCATGCATAATAGTTCAAAGGGTGTTCTTTTCATCAAATTCTCAAATTCTCCAATCAAACATTTGGCGATTGTGAACAAAGGGTTTCATTTTTACGTCATCAGTCCACGGTCCTTGTTTCCAAAGTGCCTCCAGATATTGTTTTGCATACTTCAGACATTGACTTATGTGATGAGGTTTGCAGATAAGATTTCCTTCTGATGACTCTTCCATGCAGATTGTGTATTTACAAGCAACACTGATGACTAGAACAGTGCAATGCCACTCTTGCGTTAGCTAAACAGTCCTGCAGGTCCTTAGTGTCATATGGGGGTTTTGCATTGCTTTTCTATTTGATAGCCTTCCCCTGCTTTGTAGGTGTCATTGAGTTTCATTTTAGATCCTCATTCATCTGTTTTGAGCAGCCCATGGTTGTTGAGTGTTAGCACAAGGTTTAAAGAGTCAGGAGATGTTATTCCTAATGACAATTTGTGACCTGCCTAATGAGTCCTAATGAGCCAATTTAAGCCTAACAAACTAATTAATTTGGGAGACTTGACAACTGGAAGGGTGCCCAAACTTTTGCACATGCTATAATTACATCCATCCATCCATCTTCTATGCCGCTTACCCTTCAGGGTCATGGGGAACGTGGAGCCTATCCCAGGAGCATTAGGCGGAAGGCAGGGTACACCCTGGACAGGGTGCTAATCCATTGCAGGGCTCAGTGTCAATCCCACACCCATTCATACACTATGGATACTTTGGACATGCCAATCAGCATTTCATCATAACTATCATACATGTCTTTGGACTGGGGGAGGAAACCAAATTACCTGGAGGAAACCGCCACAGCACAGGGAGAGCAGCGGGAATCAAACCCCCAACCTTGGAGGTGTGAGGTGAACATGCTAACCACTAAGCCACCATGCTCCTACCATAATTACAATTTTATTTTTTTTTAAAATTAAGTTTGTCAAATATAAAGCAACTATGAATAACATTTGCAATAAAAATTAATTTATTTTAAAAATGGTTTGCTTTGTTGTGTTTATTTCTTTTCACTTCAAAATCAACAAAATATCTAATTTGGCCAGGGTGCCCAGAAGTTTGAATACAACTGTATGACTGCATTTTAAAAAATTCAGTTTTTAAAAAAATAATAATAATAAATTTTAAAAGCTTGCCTAGATCCATCATTAGAAGAGGCCAACTGTTAATTTACAAAAAATAATTAATTTGGCAGACACAGTCGAGGGTTCGGGGCCTTACTCAATGGCCAGAAAGTGATAGCTTTGGGGTGCCAGGATTTTAACTGTCAACCTTCCAAATGTCAATCAGCAGCTCCAAGCCATGGAGCTGAACTTCTACTGTGTTCCTCTCAAAAATACCTTTGATCACGATGTTTTGTTTCCACACCTAGAACCCCAAAATCCCATCCGGTCTGGCTTAAAATTAGCACTCTGCAGTCATGTCCATTACTTAATTTTTTAACAATTCTGGGCTCTGAATATATACAAGAATGTTGCGGATCTCATAGTCATACAAGTTTTCTCTGAACATCATCAAAAGGATTGGACAAGTTCTCTCCAGGGAAACTGCTCATCTAGATATTTTGGGCTTGGGTGTGCCACAGTTGTCTGGACTCTGTGAGGAAGAGTCTGTTCCTCATTTTTTCAGTCCAGATCCCTCGAAAAACCCCTCATAGTATAGGATAATCAGTTCTACTGCTCCTCATTCATTGACACCTCTGCTCTTGGCTGGTCTTCTTGCCCTTGCCATTAGGTCCTTGCAATTCCCACCAGATATGTCTCCCATACCATATGACAGCTAGCAATGTGGGAATGAGAAGGCTAACATGTGCTTCCTCTGGGGCAAGTGAAACCAGCCAACCGGTACCTTTTGAACTGCTGTTTGTACTGCGTCATGGAGCGGCATAAGAAAAGTGCTATCTGCCCTCTTCTGCATGCTCACAGATGCCTGTGATTGGTTAGTGTTGCTGTAGATGATAGGAAGAAGAAAGTAAGCCATCCCACACATCCAAAGATCATGGGTAGTTTTCTTCTCCTTGGATTCTTGTTTCTGGCTAGACAGCAGACGAACCTGATGTGGGCTTCAGCTGTTTTATCATGATAACGAATCTTTATTGGTCACATATACATTACAGCACAGTGAAATTCTTTTCTTCACATACCCCAATATGTCAGGAAGTTGGGGTCAGAGCGCAGGGTCAGCCATGATACAGAACCCCTGGAGCAGAGAGGGTTAAGGGCTTTGCTCAAGGGCCCAACAGTGGCAGCTTGGCAGTGCTAGGGCTTGAATCCCAGACCTTCTGATCAGTAACCCAGAGCCTTTACCGTCAAGCCACCACTGCCGCCATCCACCTTGAGGTTTGATGTTCTGTGCATGCTGAGGTGCTTTTCTGCTCACCACGGTTGTAAAGAGTGATTATTTGAGTTCCTATAGACTTCCTGGTGGTTCTAACTAATCTGGCCATTTTTCTCTGACCTCTCTTATCAGCAAGGTGTTTCCACCCACAGAACCATCGCTCACTCAATGTTCTTTGTTTTTCACACCATTCTGTGTAAACTCTAGATACTCAATACTCTAAATACTCAAACCAGCCCATCTAGTACCAACAACCCTGACATGGATAAAATCACAGAGATCACACTTTTTCTTCATTCTGATGTTTGATGTGAACATTAACTGAAGCTCTTGACCTATTTTCTTTGCAGCAGTAATCGTTGAACAATCAAGTCAATATTTTGCATGAACACACTTTGCCTTTCAATACTATTATAAACTTATGGGCGACTGTGGTGTAGTTTTGAAAGGAAATTGGCTTGACGGTTTTTTCAGTCATCTTAGAGATCTTGTCGCAGTTCTTTTGGAGACAGCCTCAATGATGTATTTATCTGAAAAATGTTCTATTACTTAATATCCTCCTTTCTTAAATGGCCTAGAATTTTAATGGCCTAAAAACTTAATGCTTGAAAATCTAAAATCTGGTTTCTTTTACCAACACATGAACGCAGAAGAAATAAAATAAGTATTCAAGACAACATTTTTTTTATGTGTCTATGACTAAACAACTTTAGCAGAAGCTGTGAATTTATGTAACTCTTTTACTATATGTACCTCTGTTCTTTCAGGGTTTGTGATAGAGCACCGCTGAGAACAAATGGTGGTGAAAATCCAGCATTGCATCACACTGCTATTATTTCAGGATTATTATAATCACAATGTGATTGGATAACTTTTGGCAGGCAAATCGTTTCTCTAGAATGTCCCATTCATCAACTGTCAGCTGAGGACATCAATAAGCCGTAGCAGATAAACGGAATAAAGTTACAGTAAAATAAAGTCTGATTATGTTGGGCTTTTGAACTGTTTGGTGTGAACAGCCAACCCTTCTCTAGCCAGCTGTCATAATTTGTTAATGTGGCTTTTCAAAAATGAGAATGATAATGAGAGGATAGAAAAAAGTGGGAGCAAGAGAAATGTCAGGGTTTGGAAATAGGGGGGTCATGAGTGACCTGAAGCAGAGAGCATGGTCCCCAGGGAGTCCTGGGGCCGACATCAGACCGATTTCAGTGCAGCAACATGATGGCATCTCTGATATTTTAATATTAATGAGTGGGCTCTTCAGCTCAACAGGTGCCATGGCGGCACGCTACACAATACTAAAGCCTCTCCAGTGTCCTCTATACACATGACCAGCCTGGTTAGGGCCACTGTGACTTAAAGAAAGAAGGACACGTACAGCGAGCGAAAGAGAAAGCAAGAAAGAGAGTTAAGTCAGCCATTTGAAAAACTAAGATGAAGACGAAAGAAAAGCGACCCTTTTTGAGTCACGTCTCGCGAAGCCGAAAACACGAGGGCCAGATATTTCTCCTCTTCTTCCCAAACCCCCTTGAGAAAGAAATTGACTTTTGTTTGGAGTTTGTGAAAAGTGGGAATCAGGAGCAGGACAATGGGGCTCCCCATGGAGAGGACCCGAGTGAAGCCATCTCAAATCAGTCAGCCAAGGGACCAATTAATCCGGCCATTGTCAGGCCCAAGCCACTGCCAGCACATCAACACATTCACGGCCCATTGTCCCGACCCTCCTGCAGCAGGATTTAGTCCGTCCAACAGCCAGTTTTGTCCGAGCCAGCTCAGGCGGAAGTTTCTCACTGACAATTTGCCCCAAATAGATTTGTCAGAAGGCGTCCATCAACCTGCCAGTTAGAGTGGGTGAGGTGGGTCTGCACGAGCTTGTCTAGGATGATGTTCCGTGCCATGGGTAAAGAGTAAAACTGCAGGTGTTTAAGTGTGTCTGACAAATACTTGTTGCTAATGATGATGATGATGATGACGGATATGCATGATTGCTAAATGTGATTCAAACTGTCTACAATTTCCTGGTTAATTTCTAATTTGTGGTCAGTCTTTCCAAGAATAATTTTTACACAGCATCTTAGACACAGCATACGAGGTGGTAACTGTTTACATTTTTAGGGAGGAAAAGGTTCTTCAAGCGTGAACCCTTGGAACTCTTTTTGCGAGGGAAAGGTTCTACATCTATCCTTTAAGCTTCCATCTATAAAATAAAGAGAGTAGGTCTGATGTCAGTCTAGCAATGTACAGTCACTCAAAACAAATATGAAGACACACAACACAAAATAAGATGTTATGTGGAGAAAAAAAATACACAGACACACACACTGATCATTTTCGAGGGCCTTCGATCCGCATCACAACCCTTTAAACATTATAAGCAGCAGCACTGGTGTTAGGTGTTCCTTTAACACTGGTGATTTAACTGTTACTTCTTGTCTCAGATCATTTTCAGACAGACGTATAGCTTAATCCTTTTCCATCTACAGCCTGCTGTTACAACAATGGATGCTGGAATACGTTCACCACTCAACTTTGAGGACTACGTGAGTAGCTGCATACCAACAACTAGATACACAATCTGATGGTTCTTTGTCAAAGATTTTCATTGACTGTTATTGAGAGTCCCCCCCGTCCCCCCCCCCTTAAAAAAAAGTGAAAGCAAGCAGCCAGGGCAACCATGATGTTGGTTATGTTTGTGTAAAGACTATCTCTGAATGACAGGATTAGAGAGAGTTAAGGAGATTACTACCAGCGGACCACCCCACCCCAACACACACACACACACACACACACACACATGCACACATACACAGTTGTGTTACAATCCTCATGAGGACCTTTCATTGACATAATCATTAATGCAGCTAATTAATGCCATGCCTACTCCTACATGTAACCCTAATATAACCCTAAGTTTATCCTCAATAATAATAATAATAATAATAATAATAATAATAATAATAATAATAATAATAATAATAATAATAATAATAATAATAATCATTCTGATTATCATTTAAAGAGCAAAAAAAGCAGTTTCCATATGGGGACCAACCAAGTGGTTCAAGAATGACAAAACGGTCTGATATTCCTATCCTCGTGGGGACATTTGTATAGAAAGCACAGAGAGAGAGAGAGAGAGAGAGAGAGAGACTTCAGACATGAAGGTTATCGTGTACTGTCTAAAGCTTCACCGAGATCCCATTTATTTGACTCCTATTTTTTTATCATCAAAAACACCAATAAGACACCAAACCCCAACTCAATCCCTACAACCCCCCAAACCCCCGCCCCCCCGAGGCAAACGCGTCATCGTGTAAAACAAACCTCTGCATACGCAGTCAGTCACCTGTCACAGAATGCTAATTTCTTTTACGGGCTCGTTAAAAAGGCGCACACGACAATGCCTAATTGCGATTCGATACGCCCTCGGACGCGGCCGGCTTGGCCTAAACCTGAGACTTTACGGGCTCCCCATATGGCCCTGGGGGTCTAGCGTGGGAAGCTGCGTCATTCAAGCGCAACATACTGACGCGCGACGGCCTTCGCGT